CCAATGGACTGCGGTTTTCACACACCGCCCCGCTGCCAGGTTTCCCAGGCCAAGGCAGGTGGATTTTCTTTGGGAATCTACAACCAGAGCATTTGGCTAGCCAAAGCCTGACCAGCAAAGCAGCGGGGCGGTGTGTGAAAACCGCAGTCCATTGGGAGTCGGTGTCCAGTTCATCGGATCATACTGGCCAAGCAGATCCAAATCCTTCGTGATAATATTGACCCACGTTTTGAGCTGATCCGCAAAGAGGATAACACCTAAAAGGACTGCTCAGGACCGGTTGTTTATTTGATTAATTTCATCTAACTTTGCTGGAAGATGTGACCGAACCGTTGTAATAAGTGGCTTTGTCCATAGCGCGCCACCATCTCCCTAATTCTTCATTGGACGCCATTTAACCTCGGGTCTTTAATTTATTTCAATATTTCTAAGTTTCTGGTGTCTCCGACTATCAGAGACCAAGTTTCGCAGGCATTGATGAGCACGAGGCGAACGGTGGAGTGGAAAACTTGAAATCTATTGCAAAGGCTGTGGGTCCTGTGTTATCCGGAACTGAAGAAAAGCACACCCGGCTTTGTCGATGCATAGCACTACCTCATCCTTTGAATGGCTATTTCAAAGAAAGGTAAGTAAGGGATTCGAACGATGGTTTGAGCCCCGCCACCACTACGCAACTTCGATGGTAGACAGCTTTGCTGTCGTACGGTTCAATACCAAGCCTAACCTGGCGGGACCTTATGTGGTTCGCCACTCCAAGTCCTGGGGCTTAGGTTACCGGCTACCATCACTGAACAGCAGGTCCTCGTGACTATGGGTTTTACCCCGTATGCTGTTCATCACACTATTAAGTGTCATAAAATAATAAAAAAATGTGGTCTGAACGTTGATGAGAAGACGGCCCTGATCAAGTTGAGAATACATTAATTTTATGTGTTCATTCTTAGTCCCATTAACTTTACCAAAGGGCATTTAACTGAGAACTGACTGGAGTGTAACAAATGAGTATCCTAAGAAGAAAAGCATTGTGAAGCTTAACCGGCAGTCGTGAATTCATACGGCAATTATTTAAGAAACATCTGAGTGCACATTCAAGAAAACAAAAAGACAAACTTCTGGATTATAAATGAATGCCTAGCAGTATTATCCTTTTTGGCAGTCTTTTGTTCGTCACAGAAAACGGACCATTGTAATAGAGACAGCAGAATGTATAATGGTTGAAGATCTCCATGACAGCATCAACAAAACAAGTCGGTGAGCAAACAATTATTCCCCGTTATCATGAGTATATAGTGGAAAATGTCTACATTATGATATCCATCGGCTGGGTTTGTGGTCATCAAACTGAGGGTAGGGCTCGATGACGGTGAATAGTTGGTTTGGTATTTGATTTAACTTTTCTCTCCCAATCTGGGTTAAGTAACATTATGTTTTGTTATGATATTTAAACTGGATCTAGGTAATTGAAGTGTGTGAATCAGTTCGTTATTGACAAATGGCTTGGCCTAGTGAGTGAAATGGGATTATCGCAGGCATGACCAGTGTGCAAACCTGTGCCGCCTTTGATCAACAAAGCGGTATGCGATACACATCCTTGAAAAGCTGCTTCCGTTCGATATTGTGTCCGCTGTCTGCGGGATAATCCGCGACTTCGTTGGAGATAGTGTTGGTGTTTCTGATGTGTAGACCACATTCTTCACCCTGAGTGACTATTTCCTTCTATTTCTCCCAATTTTTCCAATTATTTTTATAAAATTCAAATTTCCGGATTTTCGCGCCAGGAAAGACTCATTCCGCACCACCGGCCATACTGGACCCTTATTGATCCATTTTCCTGTGACTTACTACTTTCAAGCCAATTCCCAAGGTCATTGATGGCCGGTCTCCGAATTGTATAAAAACAGATGAGCTGCCCGTTTTCCTCGCCTTTTTGGTAGAGCCAAATATACAAACTCGCCTGAAGGCCTTCCTTCCTTCTTCTCTCTGGTCAGGTTCCGGGGATCGTACTGGTTCGTGGGGCGCTCCTCTCGTTACTGTCCGATCGTGTCTCGTTTGGGGTACCGCAGTCGGGCATACCGGGNCCGCTGGGTAGTACGGTTCCGTTCGTGGGTCTCCACTGCCGCACGTACCACTGGTCGGGGCTCGTGTAGTCCGGTTGTTCCGTTCAGTCCAACGTTACAACAGTTTCCCTGTTTCTTAACGCGTTGAGAGAAATGTCTTATCGTGCGATCGATGTAACATAGGCCACAAGCACTGCTGCAATACATACTTGGCTATCCATAGACAAGCGTGATTTGTGGCGAGACCGTGGGTATCTTTCGCTGACAAGCGCCAAACAACCGGTTCGTGCTGATAATTTATTCGCCAGCAGAGTTAAGCCTATTCCCTTGACAAAAATTTCCAAACTACCTTCTTCAGAGTAGGATATAAAGAGGGATCAACTTAATTCTGAAAAGACAATCTAAATGTCTAAAACGCATTCCATACATGGTTGTGTCGCCTTTTAGATTATCCAAAAGAGCCTGTATTTTACGCAGACCTTGCATGCCTAGCACAAACAACATACTGATATCATTCTTCCCGCAAGCATACGTGCACAACGCAACAACGCTTTCCACCACCAAAATGAAAATGGAAGCGAAAGATAAAACAGCTGATTTATACCGCTTTTCATGTGGAACTGATAGGAAAATAGGCTGAGGTGAGCGGAAAATCGACTGTTTACAACTACTGAAGTCACAGCGAATATGAGCATTTACGCAACTCAAGTATTGTTCACATTATTCAGAAGCATAACTCTGTGCGAACACGATTACTTTTGTACAATCGTCTTCAGGCAATCACAGTTGCATATGTCTTTCTAAAAAAATACGTAGGAATATAAGTCTCGGTAAAATGGAAGCAAATGGGGTTAAGTAACTAGTAAAATGATGGAGATGAAAGGCTACAGTCGACATTATGCAGGGGGAGGGCTCACGGGTCATGTTTGTGGTGTTTTGTTGACCTAGTATGGGAATTTCTGATGTCATCCTCTCGTGTCAGGGGTCACGATCAGATTCGCTCTCTAGGTCAGGGCAGCTAAAGTGATTCGACCAGGTTTTGTAAACA